GGGGTCGGGCTGGAAGATCTACTAGGTCCCTTCCGACCCTAAATCTATGAAACTATGAAACCTGGTGGCAGTTTGCGTGGGCAGGCTCTGCCATGGGTGAAAAAAAGCAGTAAGCCCAATCCTTTTTCTTTTCCCTCACGGAGCCTGCCCACCCCTCCCATGGCCAAAGGGCAAGCTGCCATCAGCCCCTGAGCTGCAAGGGACCTCAGACCTTCCCTCTACAGGGGCAGCACCGCCCCGGGCCACTCAGGAGGGCTGCTAGCAGATGAATGCTACCTGGGAGACCCTGCCACCATGGAGGAAAGTTCCAGGGCCCCTCTCAGCTCAGGGGCCACCAGCAGCTTGCCCCCTGGCCACATGAGAGGCAGGCCCCTCACTTTTTTTTTTAATCCCAGCGGAGACTGCCTGTGCAAGCTGCCACTGGGCCAAACAGCCCCTGAGCTGCCAGGGGGGCCTGGTGCTTCCCTCCATGGCAGCGCCCCCCCCCCCCCCAGGCTGCCTAAGGTGCTAGTGACCGGGTTCTGCCTGGGGGCTGCCGCCCCCTCGGATGGCAGGACCAGGGGCTCCTGCAGCTCAGGGCCTGCCAGCAGCTGGCTGTGAGAAAAAAAAAAAAAAAGAAGGATTGGGCCCCTCACTGCTTTTTTCCTTTTTCCCCCCGGGAAGAGCCTGCCTGCGGCAGTGAGGGCAGCATGTGAGCTGACGGTTGACCATCACTGTTCCATCACAGTCACGGAAGCCCTTAAATTGAAACAGTGGGTCACAATTAAAAACGTACAAGTTAAAAACCCACCGTTTGAACTAAACCTGCATCACATGTACAAGTGCCCTATGTGCTGCTGCTGTTTGTCCCTAGGGAAACTCACATGCACTCTCACCTTGATGCACCTGTAAAGTATTCACCTAATACCCTTTTTCCATGTCCAGCCTGATTTAAAGCTGGTAAAATAGTATTTGGTGAAAATCGTTTTAGTGAAATATTATAGCAAAATGCATCAAATATAGTCAATGAATATTTATTTCTCCTCTTCAACCAGTCCTTCTGGTAATTTATGCATTAAAAACATTAAATAGAAATTCAATGAGAAATATAATCAATTACAAGACACAGTAAACGGTACAGAACTGTCTCTTACCTTAAATGGTAAGCTGCTGAGAGTCACAGAAGCACTGATATTTTTTAGAGTGGTTAGGTAGCCTAGGAAATGATCCAAGCTGTATTGTAATGAACAGAAAGATTCCAGCTCATTTCAAGGAATTTTGGATTGGGCATATACTCTACAAGGGCTAGTTTAGACTCAAGGCTTTTCTAAGACATTTTCATAATTATGATATACCCCATTTGCTGCAGACATTTGACAGTGGGGTTTTTCCACTCCAGAAATAAAGCACCATGTTTCTCCTTAGAAGCCAACAACCTTATCTCACAAGGGGGGTGTGAAAGTAAGTTCAGTAGCAAGTGTTAAGCATTTTGGATCTTTGGATAGGAAGCACTATAGTAATTCAAGTAATTTTTAAAGACTTCCTTAGCTGCAGATGATCTACACACAGTATTTTGAGGAATAAGCAGTGCAGAAAAAAAATTATTAAGACCCAGATCTACCACCCTTATTTCTCTTCCTCTAGTTTTGTCATCATCCTACTAAAAAAAGTCAAGTTCATAGTACCAAGTGTATTCTTTCTGAACACATATGCTGATTCTCACTCATGAAGCCTTATGCTCTACAGATATGTAGTGACTTTTAAAATATATGTAACCTGGGCGGTACTCCAAGAGGTACCCCCTCTCCAATTGAAGGGATCAAAGCAGGTGCACAAGCGCCGTGGGAGGTGTAGGGACTCTCCTCCCCCTATAGAGCAGAGCCAGACCACTAATGGGAAATTAACCATATACCTTTTAATACTGGGAACGTAACAGGCATAAATCAGAGGGTATAGTAGACACTACAATGCCCCAAGGGGGCAGGATTCAACAAAGGTTAGACACTTACAATCACTGACAAAAAACAGGGTTAACAAAATATAAGACTCAAACAGCAGAACAA